GTTTTACATCTGGAAAGGTTTCCTCGTAAGTGAGTAGAAAGCAATCTGCATAAACAGTTTGTAAAAGCATGAACGTCCTGCTATCCAAGTGCTCCCAGTCTATGCTGTTGAGTTTACATCAACAACTCCAAATCCTATTGAAACTCTTACTTTTCTGCAAAATTCATGTTTTAACGTAGATCTTAATGTTGTGAAATTTGCCTATGCCAAATGAGAATCAACATGTGCAAGCATCTCCATTCTAAGTTCACCAAATTTAGAATCTGTCTGTATTCTAATCTTATCCGTGACATAATTGTCCTATCATCAAGTATATAACAAAGACAAACGGTTCATTACGGGCATGAAATTCAGAGGGGGTCAAGTATGAGTACTCATACTCGAGGCTTCGACTCAGTTACTCATACTTGTATCTTAAAAATTTTTTTTATATGCACACTTTTAGCATATTACAGGAACAAAAGAAATAAAATTGGTATTGAGTTGCTGAAAAATGCTTTTCCGTATTCAGCACACTCAAGAATCCAGAAGATTTTCTATTTTTGACGAGGGATTCTTCCAAAAGTTTAGGAAACATTTTGAAACCAAAAACTTTCCATGGGAAAATAATATTAGTTTGAAAAGTTTTCTAAACTTTTGGAAGAATCCCTCGTCAAAAATAGAAAATCTTTGAAGTTATCGAATGTGCTGAATATAAAAAAACACTTTTCCAGCAACTCAAAACCAATTTTATTTTTTTTCCGGTGATATGATTGAGTAATATTTCACACGCTGTTAGGAAGAAAATGCAGAAAACACATCGGTTATGATCATAAGAGAAGAGAACTGCAGTGCGGTGGAAAGGCACTGCAATACACCCTGCCACTAAATAAACGGAACACCTGCATCTATCTTGTTTTAAACGCTTTTTCTCAACAAATTTGACTATATTTTTATTTATTGTTGTTTCTGTTGTTTTGCTAGGTTTTGAATAAAAATTTGTAGAGAAAAAGCATTTAAAACAAGATAGATGTAGGTGTTCCGTTTATTTAGTGGCACCCTGTAGAGCTGAATCAGTACTCGTACTCGAGAAAACCCGTATTTGTTCAGCTCTGATGAAATTAGTGGATACATATTTACCATCCAAAAAGACACCAACTGTNACAAATTTGACTATATTTTTATTTATTGTTGTTTCTGTTGTTTTGCTAGGTTTTGAATAAAAATTTGTAGAGAAAAAGCATTTAAAACAAGATAGATGTAGGTGTTCCGTTTATTTAGTGGCACCCTGTAGAGCTGAATCAGTACTCGTACTCGAGAAAACCCGTATTTGTTCAGCTCTGATGAAATTAGTGGATACATATTTACCATCCAAAAAGACACCAACTGTACGAAGAATAGACTAAAAGAAGAGTTGAGCTGTGCAAAATTTACATGCTAAGGTATTTTATTTTTAGCAAAAAATACATAAAAATCAATGTATGCAAAAAAATAGAAAGTCAAAATGTTTTATTAGCTAATGAATCTAATGGAGTTGGTACCCAGTGACCATTTTCCCATAGAAATAAAACGTTTTTATCAATATAAGCGTTCACATTACCACAGCGATACACTTGTTTTCCTTCATAATAACGATTTGTCACTGGTAAAAATAAAATATTATGTTCACTACATTTTTTCTCAACTAAATCCTTGAAACTGTGAATAATCGTTGATGATGACGAGGCCACACCACGATTTAATATTGCCTATAGAAAAAAATAGAAAAATAAATTAAAAGAAAAACATAATTTTTTTAAATTTTAGTTACTTACTTCATAATCAAGATTACTAACAGATTGTGGCTGTTGAGTGGAAGGTGGTAGGTTGCCAGATGATAAGTGCGATAAACTACGATCAATCATATCAAGTCCTTCAGTTAATTTCTCTTTGATTGTTGGATGACTGATTAATGTCGAAGGTATAAGAGATCTCCATCCAGAATACCAGCGATGAATTTCATTATAATTTGGTGTTGTATTTAACCAAGCATTTAACACCTATTTGAAGAAAAAAACTGAATAAAGTCACAAAGATGCAATCTAAAAACTAACTCACTTGTAACCATTTTGGAAAAAAGCTACGTTCCAATAGAGCTATCATACTGGCCAGTGGGATCATTTCGTGCCAAGAAAGTATCCAGTTCCATTGTTCTAAAAAGAAAAAAAATAACAACATCAAATTATAAATGAGTAATTTATTCAATTCTCTTAACTTAATATAAGAGACTTTTGAGTCTTACTTTCTATTATACTTACCAATTCTTTGTTGTCTAGGATCAATCACAAATTGTTGCATAGTTGTAATTAACTTTGGTACGATATATTTATTCATAAATGCATCCCACGTTCCTTGTTTAAATACATTTTTCCATGGTAGTAAAACAGCTTTTGCTGATGAATCTGATGGTTGCCAGTTTTGTAATGCATGTGCTAATTTTGTTCGTATTGGTAAATATAATGGTTCAAGACGTTCTTTCATCAATGGTAACCATGGATGTATCCAAGAATGAATAGGAATTGAATCCGTTAATGGATTCCATAAATCAACTTCTCGTTGTAAACGTGGTATTATTAATTGATCCAATATGTTATCTAATATCCATAAGGGAATACATGGTAACCAATGTTCAAGAAAATCAATCAATTTATCGGATTCACGTGGATTCCAATTACTAAAACGATAAAAATAGATAATTATATCTGTGAGAGAGCATTTTTATTAATATTTACAGAATACATTGTCGCACTTTTGGCATCCATATTTCCCATAATAAACGATGATAAGGATCTAAATTTTGCATGGACGATAATGATATCATTGTTATGTCATCATTTTCATCTTCCAATACTGCTCTCCATTTCGAAAACAATTCAATTAATTCATCATTATCAGATACAGATGTAGATAATGGCTGCCATGTTGATAAATATTGTTTCATATACGGATGTAATACAGGCACAGCTAAATCGGATAAATGATATTGACTATATTCTTTGGAAAAATCTCGACGTAATTCATCGAATATTGTTTGTAAAAAGAATAAATCATTTGGATCATGAATATCTTGTGAATTGAAACGTTCTTCACATCTAAATGAAGTACAATGATACTGATTAAGATTTTTTATTAGCAAGAGCATCTCACAATGGATAGAAAGCACTTTTTATATATTTTTTTCTCATATTTGACTCTCTGTTGCCTATTTGGATAAAGAAGACATTCTTTTCGCTAAAACCCATTTTTTTGAGTGTACGAAAGTTTTCTGTAAAGCTGTTGTACTAAATAATTCACTTGATGTAACTTCGATTACAACTATCTCAAGTTTTCTTATTGAAAAATGTTTTTTGAGTGAGAAAAATAGATTTTACCGAAAATATCAGGGTTTTACAAACTGTATATATGTATAAGAGTGAAATATAAAAAACATCGTGGATCTTTACACATTCACTTTTTAAAGAGCTCTATCAATTAGCTATCATTAGCTCTATCAAAACATGAAATAAAAATTGGTGAAAAAGTTATTCGTTTACATTTTGATAAACATAGTATATTTTTATATGCAGTTTTTTAAAATTTCGTGTAGTGATAAGTGGTGAGAAAACCCAAGTAATACTAGATATTTGAGTCTGAAATATACATTCACTGCTTTCGAACGATATGTCAACTAGTAGTTACGTATGCATAATCATATGAAAATGTAAATTTGATTTAGATACTATCCATATACAATTTAGTATTATTGTGAGTGCACATTTGTATTCGAAATTAAACATGGTAAATATGGATTTTTCAGATAAGAACTTTGAAGTTTAACACATCATCGCATTTGAAATTTCAGAATTACTGAAGTTATAACCTCGAGTATCACTAGAATAAAAAATGCCAAAATTTATGTTTGTCGCATGATTACCTTCCATGCATTTTAGACTAGACAAAAAATATTGTCTATAAAACTTTGAAAATGACTAAAGGGTAACTGATTCACAACGATATACAACGGTAGCTTTGTTGTTATTTTTAATGAAAATGACTACCAGTTCTTTGACTAACCTGTCAATAATACCCATCAATTCATCTAGATGACTTATTTGTTTTTCCTCATCGTTCAATTTTTTTTCCAACTTCTCTTTTTCATAATTCAATGTAATTATTGTATCTTCGTCAAATTTTTTTCTAAAATGATTAAAAATGAGTAATTTCGTATAATTGATGAAACTCGTTCACATACCGTCTATCACAACGTATCAATTTTTGTTCAGTCATATCGATTAATAAGTCAATATTGTGTGTTAATTCGGGTATAGAAAAATAACTTGTTGATCTTGAGTTTTCATCGCCGTCAGTACTTTGTTGTTCATTCGGCAACCTCAATGAATTGTAATTATTTAATATACGTTTTTCTCGTCCTGTCATATCGATAATTTTCTCTTTTGGTAAGTTTGGTATGGATTTTTTGAATCTTGAATTCTGTTCTTTTAATAAATCGTCCAATGTTTTATAAACATATTCTGTCTTCCCTGCTTTTTTCTAGAAAAAAATTAATTTTACACTTTAAAAACTCACATATAAACTGATAGCAAATCTACCTACTTCACGTTTTCTCCATTGAGGAACTTGAGGTTGCCCTTTTGATTCAACTCTATTTTCATTAGTAGATTCTGGAATGTAAAAGTGAATGCTAAGTAGCAGTGTTGCAATAGCTTTAAAAATCAATTACCTTGAACTTTTGATGCCATATTCGGATCTTCGTGGCCGTAACTTCCCACAGCACCTTTGCCTTGTCTTTTAACAACTTGAATTGGTAATGCTCTGCCTTGAAGATTTTTTCCTAGCCCACGTCCTTTTTCAAAACCCATCTAAAAAAGATTCAAATTAGCATAAACGTCATAGTACAACAAAATTTTCAATATTACCTTTAACAATAATTTCATACCAATTCCTTTTGTATGTTTTTCAAATGTACCAAAATCTCTAACAAAAAAAAACAGCAACAGAAAGGTATTTCAGATGATAAGAAGTACGCTTTTTTACTTGTCTCGCACCGGTACAGCATGCGTTGTTTGTTGACGAGAATGGTTTTGTACAACCGGAGCAGGGGGTTCATCATCCTCATCATCAGTCTAAAATTACAAACAAAATTCTTATTGTTGTGTGTGCTAGAAAATAAGCATCCATTAGAAAACTTACTGATCCAGCTAAATCAATGGTATTTTCTTCCTCCTCATTTTCGTCATCGCTATCAACTTTAAATTTTTTCTTTTCTAAGTCTTCTTCACTATCATTTTCATCGTCGTCATCACCATAATTTTCAAGTAAAATACTTTCTTTTTTTGTTTTAATTGTTGGTATTTTTTTTTCCGGCATTTTTGCACTCTGTTTCAAACCGCCACTAACAAATGCTACTGGACGAGTATAAGCAGATGTTTTTCGTTGTGAAGTGGTAGTATTTCGCGATGTTGTTGCCCACATGCCTAGAAGAACCATTAACGATTAAATAGTTCAAATTTAATGACTCAAATTAATTGATAGAATTCTTACCGTAAATTGCCTCTTCTTTTGATTGACGATGTCGTTTTGCCATCGGATTATAAGCTGACTCCAAATCATAATCAGATATTTCAAATTCTTCTAATTCTTCATCGTCACTCATTTTTAATTGATCTGAAAGTAATTTATTTAGTAGTTTTATTAGTATTAAGTATAAAAAATCTTATTGAGCGAAGTAAAGCGCACGATTATTAATAAATATACTGTAGAAAACGTCACGACAAGAATATCACGAAAAATGATGTTATGTTTTTGCCGTGACATTACTATTTATGGATAAACATTGACTGATGGGATACATGTAAGATTAAAATCTTTCTGTGGCATTGTCCAGCAATAAATAGCCTAAGAATGTCACACTTTACAACAGCTGTTTATTCGTTCTCTCGTTGTTGTAAGTTGAGACCGCGTATATAGCTTATTGTCTAAGTTTTAAGGCTGTAACAGAATAGTTCTTATTACTAAAGTCAATCATATCACGACTTTATCATACAAAATAATCTTCGAAGTTAGTGCCAAGAGTCACACGAAATTTGGGTTAAAGTCACAGTAAAAGTGTTGTGTTTTGGGCTGTAGTTGAGTTTTTTTTCCGTACTATCTGACTGGAATTCAGTCAGAAGAGCGTAAAAACCTGAACAAGTTGACGTATGCAGTATCTTTTACTCTTAACAAATTAGTTTTGGACACAATCCTCCTTTACTTTTTCTCTTGGCAACTATAGCATTGCCGTTAAAAGTATACCTTTTACGCAATGCTAAGTTGCCTGCTAATAACAGGAGTTATTGACAAGTAATTTCTTTCAACGCTGACGTCTATGGAATCAACCAAACCAATTTTCATTTCTCTGATCTAATGATTCGTTGAAGTTGACATTATAGAAGAACAATGGCCATTAGATAGAGTAAAAAGGAAAAAAGCATTATTACCCAGAAAGCGTAATAGAACCAAATTTATTATCTACATTTTGATTTTTTTTTGATGATCTTTTCAGATATGTAGATACTGCTATACTCTGCAAAAAACATATATTCACAACGAGATGTAAAACAAAAAGGACATCTAGCTGGTCATAGCTGACTGGGTAATTAAAGTGGATACACGTTTCCATCATAATGTGTATTATAATTAACTTTTTTTTTCATTGTTCCACTATCGACACTGAGCAACTCAGTCAGCACCGTAGCAACTAGTAGACTAAAAAGCTATAAATATACAGTAGGTGAAAATCAACCAACGTCCATATATGGGAGGTGTCGGCGTCATTTCCATTTTAGCTTATCTTGAATTACACAGCCTCACGCTGAGACTTTGTTCGTCGAAGTTGAGCGGCTCTTCCAACTGTACATCAGTTCCTGTTTTTCAAATACAGGCTATAGGATGAAAGAGTTGAAAATAGCTTATCTTCAGATGGAAGGTCTTCTTACTTTATTATCCTACTATAAATCATATCCAATGTTTGTTTTAGATTTCTGTTCCAATACTCTTATCTATTTTCTGTTGTGTGGTTGCTTATTTTTTCGCTGATGGTACGTTAGAAACGGACATTGTGGAATGTAGTTTTAGAAAATGTAAAACAAATCTTGCTATCATCATTTAGGCAAAAGAAACTGGGAATCAAAGTACAAAGGATCAAACAGACAAAAAGAAAAAAACAAAACAAAACTCAAAAGACTCAAACGTTGAACAACCAGTAGAAAAACCACGAGAAACAAAACCACGAGAGAAAAAGCGTTCATTTTCATGTTCAATGCTGATATATTCGCTTGTATTCATATCAGGCGTTGTTGTGGCTACAGTATTACCAGAATTAGTTGGTTACCATTTCAAACAGAGTTATGGACAAAAATATGGTATGTCTGTAAAAAGTCTACAGGGTTTATATGACCACCATTTGGATAGCTGTTTCGTGCCCTCTCTTAATTAATTATATATTGTTATAAAAATGTTTGATAAGCTATTTTGTTACCCAAACGTTGATGGCTAAAGTTACTAACTCGCTGTTTTTTCTTGTTCATTAGGTGTACTTGTTGAAGAGACGTATAGGAAATCAGTTGATCATCTTGCTGAGTATTTATCGGTCGTTGGTCCCTATGTTCGTAAAACAGGTGATCATGTTGCTGAGTATTTATCGGTCGTTGGCCCCTATGTTCGTAAAACAGGTGATCATCTTGCTGAGTATTTATCAGTCGTTGGTCCCTATATTCGAGAAACATTTGATAAATACTTGCCAACAGAAACAGATGATGCCGATCATGATAAACCAGCATCAACAACCCCGCGTTCGCAAACAACAACCAGTAAAACGGTCAAAGGAGGAAAGACCGATTCTACAACAAAAACAGCCACAGCTACGAAATCAGCAACTACTCAGGCACCCACAACTCAAAGATCCACCACTACTCGAGCACCCACAACTACTCAAACACCCGCCACTACTCAAGCACCCACAACTCAAAGATCCACCACTACTCGAGCACCCACAACTACTCAAGCACCCACCACTACTCAAGCACCCACAACTCAAAGATCCACTACTACTCAGGCGCCCACAACTACTCAAGCACCCACAACTCAAAGATCCACCACTACTCAGGCGCCCGCAACCACTCAAGCACCTGTAACTCAAAGATCTACGACTACCCAAGCACCCACAACTACTCAAGCACCCACAACTACTCAGGCGCCCATTACTCAGAGTAAGCTATTAATTTGTTAAATGTTTTTTTTTAAGTAATATAATGGAAAAACATTTTTGTAAAATCATTTTACAAAAATGTTTTTCAATTATATTAAATATACTTAGTTTTATAAGAAACGTAAAAAAGTCAAAGAATGTCAATATGTTTTTTTTGTAAAAAAGCACACAACGTTACTTAAATCAGCATTTAGAAGTCAATCTATGCGTCAGGCTGTGATTACATAATCTAGAATATATTTAAATGTTTAGGAACTGCAACAACCGTCACTCAGAAACCCTCAACCATCTCACCAACTACTATTCCAACGACCGAGCAAACAACAGAAAGAGTCACGGAAAAGCCTGTAACAACACAAAGTAGTGCTACACAGACTACTCAAAGGGCAACAACTTCAACTGCAGGTGCGTTAAAAAGTCATCGATATTCATACGCACCATTATCCATTTCAACATATAATACAGATGGTCATTTTTTGAATAACTTTAAAAAGTACAATGACAGAGGACTTTGATAAGCATCGTCCAAACGTCAGAACTTTGAGCGCATCTTTTCATGAACAAATAAGTTTATAAGTCGTTTTCGAAAAGTAGCATTTTCAGGAGATCTTTGAAAAACAAGCTCATGGTCGACAAAAGTCAACATAAATATATATTATTGTAGAAATATATATTGTTCAAGCATAAATATATATTGTTTTAATTTTTGTAAAAAGATAGACAAGCGTGAAGATGACAATGAAGTGAGACCTTTGTAAAGCAGTTAGAGTAGAGTATACTCTGCTGTAGGGTGTTTTAAATTGAAAACAAATTGATAGCTTTTCCATGACGTTGACAGATAACATTAATACTCTAACTATTTTTAGCTACAACTGAAGCAACAAAAACCACAGCTGCTGATCAGAAATCCGTAACAGCAACGCCTAGTACACAGGCAACAACACAAGTAACACCAAGGTGAAAATTTTCCATTTAGTTGACGTCCTTGCTTACTTGAAAGTATAATTGATACATCGTTATTATTAATTCTTTCTCTCAATCCGTTTTTGTCCAACTTTCAAAAACTCGATTAAAAATGTATATTATATTTGGTATAATTTTAGAGTGACCGCAACGCAAACAACAACAGTTACTCAAAAACCAACAATAAGCACATCTCAGACAACAACAACTTCAACTCCACGAGTAAGTTTGAGATCATTTGTAGGATTCAAAATTACCAATACGATACATTCTATCAAAAACACTTTATATTCAAGCTTCGTATACAGAACTCCTTTAATAATTCATAGTCTCTAAATGTTTTAGGTGGCTGAAACAACTACAAAGTCGTCTAGTGTTACTCCACCAATTAGTGCTACCCCGACGACTGTGCAAACGACTCCAAAGACAACGTTGGAATCAACTACCATTGTTTCTCAAACGCCTCCGTCCGTCACACCGACTCCTCCCACTACTACTGAGCAAATGAGGACAACAGTAAGACAAAATCCTTCGTCAACCATTGAATCACCATCTATTAAACACGATACAGTTAAAGAACAAACAATCACAAGCACGAATCAAGCAGTACCAAAAGCAAAGGAATTGTGAATAACTTGAATTGTTTTCGAAGTGTTCCTTTTAATCATTCCACTGCAGCTTTTACATTTGATAACGTCTTTCCGATACTCTTACAAGTTTCCTATCCAGATTTGTTTTTTTTCATCTTTTTTTTATATTTTTATATCGGTCAGTAGACGGATAAAAAAAGAATCCGAGGTTCCTTTTAGGGTTTTTGTGTGTTTTGTTTTTTAAGGGATAATATATCCGTGAAAGAAAAATATATTGCTGATAATGGGTTATATCGTGCAACTTTTTTTGGTGATTAGTTTTACAAAAATAAACAAAAATAAAACAAGGAATTAATAAGAGTCATATTTGGGTGTAACAACTGATTAATGTTAAAACACTTTCAGCACTACTGAAATTAAATCTGTTCGCAATTGTCAAGCCTGATGATAATACTGTGAAGTATCGAAAACTCGGTTTTTGTGTAAAATGATTTCCGAAATTCAAAGAATGTCAATATGTCAGGTTTACTGATCGCAACCTAAATTGTAACTAATATAGATCCTGTGCGTGCTGAATCTGCTGATGTAAGCAACAGGTTTGATATTCGGTAACACAAACAAAACTGTGTATTACAACATCTATAGTTTTGGCTCCCTCATTAATCAGCGTTGTCATATTCGTTCAATGTAGTGCTTGAAGCTATAGCTTTTTAAATAAAATTCGTGCTCATTTCAGGTAAGATGCATTTGTTATTAAAATTTCCTCAATTATTCAATAGTTTCAGTCATTTTTTCGTTTCTAATAAAATTGCCTTACTCATTCTAAAAGAATTTTTATCAAATCTTAAAATCATCAAAAAAAAAGTATCGCTAAATATCAAATGAGAAAGAATTACGAAAAAGTGTTGCAGAAAAATAGAGCAAACAGTCATATGTATAATAATATGCAGCTGTTATAGTTTATACCGTGAAATTTAAACGATTATGAGCTGAAAATAGAAAGTCATCAATATAAATAAAAAGCAAAAAAAAGTAACTTAATCTGATTTGAGAACAAATGATTAAATCATACAGTTAAATAATTATATATAATCACAATTCACTTTTTGGATAAATTATTGCGGAAGGTCTGACGATCTCTTATAACGAAATAAATGTACAGTTCCTTTTGTATTTCCAACTGTGCATAAGTCACTTTCAGCATTCCAGTGTACACAGGATGTTGAAGGTTCTTCTTCACCGATTGTTGATAATTCATCTGAAGAATTGTTCACTCTTGTTTTGTTGTCAAAAACAACTTTTTGGATTATAGTAGAAGTTGATAAGCGATACAAATAAGAGCTATTTGCTGCACATGTTAATATTGTATCGTAGTCTGTATGATCAAATGCAAATACACTTCCCAACGGATAAAGTTTGAGTGGTGATGAAGTTGACGGTGTACGTTGCAATGCATTCGAACTACTGGCATTGAGTGTAAAAGGACCAACAGCTTGAAAAGGTAACTCATAAGTTCGCATTGGTTTATCAAAAGAAGATAGACTGCATTGAACTATAGTATTATCATTTCCTATTGTATACAAGAGACCGTCTTCTGCAGGACCAAAGTGAATGTCTTGAACAAGCCGTTGATGACGTTGACTTTGATGAGTCTGTGTACCAGAACGACAATCATATAGTTTTAATTTTCCATCACTGAAGCCTAAACAGGAAGAAAACATATGAGTGCTGAATAAAAGCATTTTCAAGTAACGCACCTAAAACGAGCAACTGTCGCTCTCTGTCAACATTCATACAAGTGATAAATGAATCATCCGTGTCAACGAGTAAACGATCGTGAGACCATTTAGTCAAATCTAACATGACAACGCGACCAGAACGATTTCGGACATTCATCATGGTATTCAGTCGACTTGAACTGGCCAGTGAAATAAATAAACGATCTAGAATAATAAACAATAAGAGAATAATATTTCTTGAAATTTACGCGTATGCTGAGAAGAACTTACCCTGAGTGGGATCTGTTTGCATACACATGACTCTTGGATAATTTTTATCAATAATCTGTTCATTGACGATTTTCTTTTCTAATACATGTAATACTTTTATTGTTGAAACAGATGTCCCAAGATAAAGTAAAAGTGCATTTTGTCTATCCCAACACTGACACTGTAGTGCCGATGTTCTCGACCACAATGATGTAAGTATGTTAAAGTCTTCGATCGATGACCAAACTATAGAGAAACCAAAACATGAGAAATTGATGTAAACAAATTGCAAGTTTGTATTACTTTTTACATGACTTTGTACATCGAGTGTTGAATACATCGATGAATTTGCATTTAATTTGCAATCGATTACTGTTGTTGTATGATTTTTTAACTCTGCACAATACACAATATTCTCCTGGCCTTCGTTCATTTCATTAGTGGATAATGGTTTCTTGGTAAAAAATGGTCCATCAATTTCATCCAATATTTTCTCTTGAAAAGGCTAAATAATCAACAAACATCATTCATGTTAAAAAAACTTAGTTTTTTAGCTTATTATTTACGTCAGAAAATGAGTGTAGTTCATATTGTGATTCAGACAACTTTTGTTCTCATACAGAGGACTCTTTGATTATCACTTTCTCTTTCACTGAATGATGACCTCTTACAAAAGAAACCTGACAGCTTTCTATATTATGTGTGTTAGAGAATAAAAAGTTATCTAGTTGTACTCTTACAAACGGAATAGCCACGCGAAAAACAAAAACCACCATCAAAGCTCAGAAAGATTATCATTTCATATTTTACCAGTAATATCCACTGTTTAATGTTGTTTGCCTGATATTTTCGCTATAAAAACAATTCATGATCTGTTTAACTTTCACGATTGTTTGGAAGAAGAGAGGGCAACTGTAGAGCGCGAAAGAAAACGTACATGATGTGTATCTCATACATTGTTGAATAGAAGTGAATCCTCATCGTTCATCACAGATCCAACTGCCATTGCTTGCTTTTGTGTAAAAGATGTACTGTCATCCAATAATAATTTATTGCCCGTATACGCTGTTGATTCACTGAACGGTTTCGTCGACAATAAGGTTGTGCTAGAAGTTGTTGCACTTGTAGAAATCGGTGTGATTGTTGTTGTTGCGGTCGAAGGTCCCGTAGGCACTGCGATTGTTTTTACTTAAAAAACAAGTACCACTTTGAGAATGAAACAAACTTTATGTGATTAATACCTCGATTCTGATTTGGTTTTGTAAGAAAATTACTTCTTAGTTTTGAAATTATCGTATTTGATGTATTGGATGTTGATGTTTGACCGCGTCCTGGCAATCCAGGGCGAAAACCATCAATAACTTCAGGAAATTGTGTCGCAGACGGGTCAAGACGCTAAAGACATGAAGAATTAACGTTACAATATGTAGATTTTTTCTACTATGTCCGTCTTACAGCTGAAATTGGCAGTGATGCTCTATTAGTCTGACTTATTTGTCCAATAATATTGCCAACTGTGCTCGATGAATGTTGAATACTGCTTTCGTCTGCAAATGAACATAATTTTGGAGGTGCCATGCTGAAATACGATGAAGAAACCAAAAGTGGAAAGTGAAACCTGAAATAAAACAACGAACTTACTGATAAAATGCCATTGAAAGAAAATTTTGTAATGATATCCAAAATAAATCATTCCACTGTTTAGAAAAGTATGTTTGAAATGTCGAATTTTCATCAGGATTTTTGATAAATGGCAGCGCAAACCATTCTTTCCATTCAGGCAAATGCTGGAGTGATTTTGTTAACTTTTCAAAAAATTCTAATACTTTATCATTTTTTGATGATTGTATCGCATGAACAAGATAACAACGATAGAGATTTGTACGAATTTTATTTAAACCATTATTTTGTTGTTGTTGTTGTGTTGAACGTAAAACTAAACTAAACAAACGATTTTCAATTAATTGCCAATAGTCCATTAAAGCATTGATATCATATGTATTTATGTACATTGTTAATTGTTCCACGATCCGATCAGCTCGAAAACTCAAACCACCAATTCCACTAGTAATTTTATCTGTTTTTAATGTTTCAACTTCGAAACTACGTAACGTTGAATTAAAACCACGATAATGCAAATATTCACGAAGTAAATCATCCAGAAAACCAAATGAAGCCATCGTGGAAATAGATCTACAAAACAAGGTCTTTTACAGTTTAAAATACAGCCACATGGTTTTTTGATTAATTTTGGAAAAATAACGTACTATTACCACAGTGCTGGTGAAAATAAAACTATTGGGAAAGTAATACGATATTAATTCATATACGACGTAGAAGCAGCAAAATACTAATGTGCAAAAAAAACATTCTACAGCAAAACATGAGTTGACACAAATATCAAATAAACCATGCAGAATATGAGCTGTTAAGTCGTTGTCTGCCTGTTATTGAACTGCGAGCACAAGATACCTATTAGATATCCAATTTCTTTTCGATGTCGAAACGCAAAAGCAAAAGTCTATCCTCTTCTTCATTTTTCAAAGTTCTCAGTATCAAATTATGTTGCGATAGTAAAATGATAAGTTGTTAATTTTGATATCATCAAAAGGTTCACATAATCAGCCATAATCTGTCTTCTAAAAAGTGTTTCAATTTCTTCTCATTTAATCATTAAACAACTTTATGAAAGTTTGAATCGTCCACTCCTAAGCGCTTCTGTCCACACAACGGTTATCAATCTCAAGTGAGTGCTGATTCACTTTTCACGTGGTGCGCTCTTTAAAGGTTTTGTTTTCATGTGGTTCAGTTTTTTAAACGATATGAGAATAGAAAATGCGGAGGATAGATAAGACAGACGTCAGCTGTGGGATATTTGACCAGTTATTATTTTGATTACGAGTTCATGCATTTGCTAACTGACACTTATCTTCCAATCGTAGGATATAATAAATGCTTGGAGCTGAAATATCCAAATACTGGACTATACTTTTCTATTGGGGAATATAAAACGAAAGAGAAAAGACTAAAATGAGGTCGCAAATGTATTATATTTCTCATACAATAAGAATGAAATATTCTCATGAACTGTTATATTCCATTATTCCCAAGATTTTAAATTATCAGAGCATATATATTAATAACAAAGTTGATATTTAAAGTTAAATGAAAATCTTGGGAATAATAGAATATAACAATCCATGAGAATATTTCATTCTTATTGTATGAGAAATATAATACATTTGCGACCTCATTTTAGTCTTTTCTCTTTCGTTTTATATTCCCCAATAGAAAAGTATAGTCCAGTATTTAGATATTTTCGCTCAAGCATTTATTGTACTATACGATCCGTGAAAAGCGGATCAGCGTTTACTTGTATTGATTCTCCAATCCTATTTATGGTGTTTATCATCTGAATTTATTCCATGTTAACTATGTACGATATGCTAGTTAGGGTCTTATGATTTTCGGCAACCATATCTGTCTCGGTGATATTTGTCGGTATTGAAGGTTTTAGTGGGTTAGCTGGAAATATGTCCGACTGAAACACAAAATGAATAGATGATGCAAGAGTATTGGTAAATAATAAATATAACAGCAGTACTAGAAGTCCCTTGCATCAGCAAGCTTGATTTAAGTTGATCGGACGGTTACGTACGTTCCAATGTCTATGTAGGTTTGAGAGAATATGGCCATTAATAGAAACTCACGAATTCAATATTGTTTCTGGTACACTTTGACATAAGGTAAGTAATAGTTTTACAAAGAAAGAGAAATTAAGGATTGCAAAATAAGTCAAAGAAAGTTTTGATTACTGCATATAACTCACGCACAGCAAAAAAAATGAGAAACAGGTTAAATGTGCAGGAAGCAGACTAGTACTAGGGTAATGAATGTTATTCATGTCGTTAAATTAAATCGATTGGAAACATTATTTGGTTACCTTCATTATCCTCTTCCCTGCTTAGTGCAATTAACGAAATCGATGCTTGGTTGATTGTATTTGAATGAAAGAGAAAAGTACAATATACAATAGAATACAATATAGTCAGTTCCGCAAAAGATTTTAAGTATTTTCTAATTTTCTTTAAATAATAGTATAATTATTAGCTTTGGATATCCGCCCCAAATATTTATAAATTCTCTTCGACACTTGAATATTGAAATGTACTTATCAGTACGTAGCGTAAGCTGTGTTATTATCTTAAGTAACATTTTTAGTGGCTTCGGAAACAGATTTCTAAAAGCCCAAAAACAGTGACAAATATACGGTCAAATCTTTTTGTCAAGTGCGTATATTTGTAGAACAAAGTTTTTTCTTCCAAGTGAAATCTAATACATTTGTACGATTACCATAATGGTGGCCAAATTCTGTGTTTCTGAGAAAAGTATAGACTTGCATAAATCCCAAATTGACCTTTTCGAGTTTTCAACTTTTAACGGACACCTACCAAGCAAAATTTTAAAAATCAGTGCATGCAAAAGTTAGATATAATTGTTTACTTTAGTTTAAAAAATCACGACATACTCAAAATTCTAGTTTGGATTACAAAGAATCCGTTGAAACTCTCAATTTTCATCTTACGCCGCTTTTAATGAACGACTAATCAAAAATTTATCACAAGGGACTTACATGTTCTTTGGTTCCTGAAAATCGAATGGAATGTGTAAAATATTTATGGATCCTCAATAAGTATGAAGAATAGTCAACGAAATATTTTTCTCTCCTTTCCTTTTCGCTTCTAGATGACTGACACTCTAAATGATAAAACAATCGCTGAATTGTTTGATAATGGTTATGATCTACAATTAAAACTAGATAAAGATGAAAATTTGGACATATCGAACGATGACAAACAGAAGCTGTTTAACACTGCTATTGATACGTTATTAGCTGCTGAAAAAAAATTAGATGAAATTCATTTATTTTCAGACAATGAGGAACTCGATGAGGTGGCTACGAATGAATTGAGGTATTATTAGCCGTATACAACTTTCACATAGAAAAAAACAATTTATTTTAGGTACTTTCTTCTTTATGCACTCATCGGCTGGTTATACGAATATAAACCACCAACTGATCGCAATGAAAATAAACGTTTTGATGATGTTAAATTATCAATAAAATATTCTGTCAAGTATTTAAATTTATGTAAAAATTATGGTTTAATTAAAAGTGTTCCTAATGAAGATATTGATAATATTGGAGGATCAACAAAAGAATTGAACCGAGAAGAATTGGTTACAAGGTAATTGGTTGTCGATGTTCTTCTCTGTCACGCAATTTAATCATTCATTTTCAGATTGAGAGAGAAGAAAAGACTAGAAAGTTTAATTAAAACTTTAATGGATCTTATAAAAACAGATAAAACTCGTGTTGATGATGAAACAAAACGTCAGTTGTATGTATCACAAATTAAATGGTGGATTCAACAGTTGGAATATGACATTAATATACTGAAAGGTAAGTTTTAGATTTATTCAGTACAATTATTCTTCTCTTGTCTGTTTTTATTTTTTGGTAGATGAAGGTATGATGTTGATGCATAGAAAAGAATTATCGCTTAATCAAAATCAAACTCAAAACAAAGACTATTCTACTACATCTGTTAAAAATGTAAATAATAACCAAACTGGACCATTCATATTAACAACAAAAGAGCATTTGTATGCACAAGCGGTTGGAGGTAAAGGTTATCCAAGTTTACCAACAATGACCGTCGAAGAGTTTCATGATCAATTAATAAAAAACGGGCACATGAAAATAACAAATGATCAACAACAGGGTGAGATTATTTTATAAATCATTCTTCCTATTTTATCAAATTTCTTCTAAAATTCCGAAAGATTGAGAAATTGAAATTTAGCGTCAAAAATCTATAGATCTTTGTCGGTTGTTTCTCTCCTACTCCCGACGAACACTGGCCATCATGCGTATGCACTATAATAAAGAGCATTATTATTTATATTCGCACATTATACAATCATGAGGAGTTTTACATTTTAGCCTAGCAGTGATTGATCTGACAAGATTTTTCACACCTAGAACTTGTAGGCTCATCACAGATTCGATAGCGGTACAAGGGCTATGCTACATAATTTTTGTAATAATACTCCTGATATGGTTTTGCTAATCTTGTTTTTCCACATATAGGATCAGCATTTTCAATGCCACCGTCAACGAACAAAATCGCAGAGGAATTGGAAAAAGAACATCTATCTGAAATTGATGATACTCAGCATCGACGTGATATAAATCAATTGGACGAATATAAAGATGATAATCCACGGGGCAGTGGAAATCGATATAATCGAAGTTAATTTTAATTTTTGTTTTTGCATTTATTTTTTAAATACATTTCCATTACTCATTGCTATGTCTATAATAGTTTTACGTTAAAATGAGAGTTTATGATTTCTAATTTTGAATGAAAACAACGTCGTTTATTCTAGATTATCTGAATTATTTAGTTAAAAAATCATTAAATTATGTCGAATGATTTACGTGAACTAGGTAATCAAGCATTCAAAGAAGGAAATTATAAAAAAGCAATTGATTATTATACACAAGCAATAAACACATTTGATTCAAGAAATAAAGAAAACAAAGAGGATATAGCGAAATGTTACAGGTAAACTTTATGATAAATATGTTGAAATTTAGATTATTTTTTCTTCTGGAATTTCTACTAGGTAACCACTAAAAATATCCCAGTATTTTTAGAGATAAGTTCCTGACATTCGGAGGGATAGAATAAGATTTCAGTGAAGCAAGGTGCTCCTCTCTAGATAAATCACTGGAGTGAAGTGTATATTCTCGAACTCCAATGTGAAAAAATTCTTTCAAAATCGAAAAATAATGTCTGAAGTTGAAAAAGACATTTTTTACCGGCAGAAAATGAAAAAAGTCAAAAATTGGAAAGTTAGATTTCGTTTGAAAAAAGTTTCAGAATGAAAAATTTCAAAAAATCGAAATCTGAACTGAAGTTTATTTTATTTCAGTAATCGTTCTCAATGCTACATAAATCTGTCACAGTATGAGGATGCTGTTGAAGATGCAACAAAAGGTATGTAATAGATATTTCTTTGTTAGGAAAATTGATTTTAAATCATTTTGTTTTTTAGCATTGGAATATATGCCGGCAGATACAAAGTCGTTGTTTCGACGTGCGAATGCATTTGAACGTATGGGAAAATTGAACGAAGCAATATCCGATGCTCAACGTTTAGTATCAATAAATAAAAACCAAGATAATAAACAAACAAATGATCTTTTAAGAAAATTAACGGAAACTGTATATAGTAAAGTATGTTTACCGTATAAAATCTACCGTAATGCTCTAGAGACGCATGCGAGAGTTGTAGAGAAAGAGGATGTCAACCTTATTTTTATTAATATTCAAATGATGAAGGTATCTGATTAATCTGATTATTTTTCTAGCATTCAGAACAAAACTTAACACTTGGACAAGTTCGGCAAATGTTTGAAGCGGTTTCAGGTGTATCATCATCAGCTGATCAACTCGCGGTAAGTGATATTTTCTAAGGTTTTCGTGTTTTTTTTAATTCTCTAGTATTTACTCATATATATATAAATATATATATGCATATATATTCTGTTCTCTTAATTTTCAGTGAATGTTTGTAGTGTACATCTTGCATGAAACCATTTAAACCACCTCTCACTTTATTGAAAAATGCACGAAAAAGTTTAAAAGGTAAATGCTCATTTTTTACGAATTTTTTTGGCTTTTATTTCGGTATTTGAAATTATGTTTGTCTTAGATGCGTTTGAGTTTGCCGTACATTTAAAGTTAGAATGATTTGAGTACTAGATTGTTGTTTCGTCAAGAGACATATATCTTGAAGAGACGAATGTATATTTTTGTTCAAACATTGTATATTTTTTTTTCTCACTGCAGGCATTAAACAATTTAATTGTTCTTTCACGTGAAGAATCAGGCACCGAAGCCATTGTGAAGTTTGATACAGATTTAAAAAATATAGTCAAGTTTATTCAAAGTAGTGATCGAACAATTGTGTTAAGCACTGTCCGTTTATTGTCGTCAATTGTTAAACGTTCTTATGCACGTGTAAGTTGAAATAATCGAAGAATAAACACGAAAATCTTATTTCTTCTTCTTTGTAGACTGATTTAGTGTTACGTAAAATTGGTTTAAATCATATAGCTCGCTTGTTAGCAACAAATGATCAGGAAATATCAACATCATCAGCTATTTTATTATACGGTATGATTACGTCAATATGTGATTTAGAAAATCGACGAAAAATAAGAAAAGGTCCATCTGTGCCATTCAATTTTGGTATGCAGTAATAATTTTCTCTTTTTATTAAATATAATACGGTATTTTTATGATATAGAACCACAAGTAGTGACGTTTATTGATGAAGTATTTCGAATATTGTGTAGTTTAATTGACGATAAAGCTTGTCCAGCTGTTGGTCGTGATAATTGTCTCGATTTAGTTGTTAAATTTGTTGATCGTATGAATGGATGTAATTGGACATCTAAATTTATTCAATCTGGTAAAGTTATTTATTTAACATTTCTTTCGTTTCACATATCTTTGTTCGTTGTATTAGGCATATCAAAACTTCTTCGAGTTGCAGCTTCGGTGCCCGAATTACCGGATAGCAAACCATATCCGATTACAGAACATACAAAAATGCACATATCGTGTGCACTAAGCGTTGTGTATCATGATTGTTATTCAGACAAAGAACGAGAAGATTTTAATAATGAATGTATTGAATTTGTCAAGTAAATATTACATATTTCTCTTTTTGATCATTTGTTTTTGGAATTTGTTTTTGTAGAGCGCTACGACAACATGATGATGTTCGAGCACGTGTACAAACAATGTCTGTTTTAGCCGTTCTTTTACAAGTAGGCACACATGTCAAATCATTTAAATTCAAGTATATTCTTATTAAACGAGATACTGAATTCTTTATAGAAATTACTTTGTCTTGTATTCACTCTTTGTTAGAAATAGGACAAGTGCACAGACTCTTATCCGCTGAAAAGACAAATTTGCCGAATCTAGCTTGCTTCATTTTAATATAATGAACGGTTCTTTTAAAAAAATATAATCAATTTTATACAAAAACTCGGATAGATTTCAAATTTCTTTTCTTCATGTGTAACCTAATAGTTGTATTCGGATTATACTAAAACGTAAATTTTGATCTTATAGGGTCCGTTCGATACAGGCAACGCCATTTTAGGTGGATTGAATTTGGTTGATTTAATGTTGGTTATGGCTAGCTCCGGAGATGCGTTACAAGAGGTAAGAAAAACTGTCTGGCTGCAAAGTTTATCTTGTATTTCTCACAATCATGAATCATAGTATTTTGCTGAAAGTATAGTAGACAGAATTTTCTTAACTACGTATAGTACTGGCCAAAAGATCGTCAGCCATCCAATGATGAGATATCTCCAGAATTGTTCTGAAAAGCTTCTCAGTTTCGGAAAAAGGCTTAAATTTTTTGAAATTATCAGAAGGTCCTCTGTTGATGAAAATTGTCTTCACTGCTCCCACTGTAGCATTTTTTCTATTAAAAGTCTCGACCAAATACCTTTTTAATTAAAAACCTTCGAATGAGTAAATTATGACATTTTAAGTACAAAAAGTCAAACATTGGATATACAAGGAAAAAGGTTTACATTGCACTGCTGCAGAAGGCTGAAATTTTACAAACGATCGCTGTTATACCACAAGGAATATCTATCTATACAAAAAAAAATGAAGCCATGGAACGTCATGATCTGTGAGTTACACGGGTGACGCTCTTTTTGACCAGTACTTTACTTAAACATTTTAAACATCCTGCACCCTACCCTACAACAGTTTTCGTACTCTTGTTGTACCCTTCAGGGTGCGTTAGAATTAGGATACTGCGCACCTATAGGGCACGGTACATGTGAAAAACTTTTTTTAATAATAAAATGGAAGCTTATAGAATTATATTGCACTGGATATTCTAACAGCTTCCATTCGTGAAGCAAAATGTAAGATTCATCGCTCATGCTAATATTCTCTAGTTTCCAACCATAAGTCTTCACGTCTTTTAGCGTGTTGCCGTTGAAGCTGTTGTATTATCATCATCAAAGAAAGACAAAGCAGCTGGTATTTTATCATTAGGAGCTGAAATACTAAAAAATCTTTATGCATCACCAAATGAACAAATTAAAGTTTTGGCACTTGTTGTATGTATATCAATTATGGCTTTTGAGATGCAAAGCGTAATCTGTCTTGTCTTCAGGGTTTATCAAAAATAGCCTCTAGCAAAGGTACAGATACAAGTGTTCAATTAGTTACCGAAGGCTCTTGTCAAACATTAGCTAAAGCATGTTCACAGTAAGTAATTTTCATGCTGAGACGAATTTTCTTGTATCTGGAATGTTTCAATTTTTCAGATTTTTGACATCAAATAAAAGCTTTGATATTCGACGTTGGTCAGCTGATGGTCTGGCTTATTTGACACTTGATGCCGATGTTAAAGAAGATATAATTAATAATCAAGCAGTACTAAAAGCATTATTCGAGCTAGCAAAGGTAAAAGAATCGAAAGAGACTGGATAAGATTTTATTGTGCCTTTACGTTTAGTGTGATGATTCGAATGTTATATACTCAGTTGTTTCAATCCTGGTCAACTTGACGAACACATACGAAGTTAAAAAGCCAGATAAACAAATGGTCGAACTAGCAAAATATGCCAAACAACATGTACCAGAAGATCATCCAAAGGTAAATAAACTAAATATAATCTAAAACTCAAAACTATTTTCATTTCTGTAGGATGCAAAAGAATTTGTGGATGAACGGCGAAATAAACTTGTTGAGGCTGGTGTTATATCCGTATTAGTTAATATGTGTAAACAGAAAAGTGACACTTGTCGCGAACAAGTGGCGAGGTAGGATGAAACATATGAAGAATCTAAACAAATATCCACTTACTTCTTGTTCTTTAGGGTTTTTTTCGGTTTATGTGAAAATGAACAACATCGTGGAAAAATTGTAGCTGCTGGTGGTGGTAAAGTATGTAAATTTGTGTTAGTTATCTTGCACGATTCATTAACTATAAACAGTTTTTACCTTAGGCATTGTTACCATTGGCGTTGGATGGACTACCGATAGGTTCAACAAAAGCGGCTCAAGCGTTAGCGAAAATAGCCATAACAACCAATCCAGAAATAGCGTTTCCTGGGCAACGTGTATGTTACTTAACAATTTTTGGTTGTCTAACGTTTATATATGTTTTTTCGTCTAACAATAGACACTTGAAGTTGTTCGTCCAATAATAAAGTTGTTGAAACCAGATCAGACGGCCCTAGAAAATTTTGAAGCATTAATGGCATTAACCAATTTGGCAGCTGTTGGAGAAAGTGTCAGGTAGAAACAAAATTATTTTTACCTTACACCTATGACAATTTTTTTTTGTATTTTAATTAGAAAACGCATCTTGAAAGATGGTGGATTTTCGAATATCGAGCATTATATGTACGAAGAGCATACTGAACTTCGTCGTGCTGCAACGGAATGTGTTTGCAATATGGTTGTACAAGAAGAGGTTAGGATGTTTTTCTTGATATTGATAAAACTATAATTTTTTTTTAATCTTTACAGGTTATTCAATATTTTACACCGGAAAATGATCGTATTAAATTATTAGTTCTTTTTTGTGGCGAAGAAGATGAAGCATTGATCAAAGCTGCATCTGGTGCATTGGCAATTTTATCATCATTAGATGTTGATTTAGAACAAATCGAAACATTTGATTTAGAACCGGATGAACGTAAAAAGCTGGAATCAATAATAGAAGACAATCGCATTATATGCAATAAAATTTTAGAAGTAAGATTCTATATCGAACATGTTTTATTTTTATACGTTGCTGTTTTCGATGATAATATTATCGAATATTGATCAATAATATTCTTTTAGGTAACGTCATTTGTTGAAATATTTAAACAATTATGTGTTTCCCCAAACAATGAGTTACAATTTCGTGCACTTTATATCATCAAAAATATTGTTAAAGCAAAAAAAGAATTTGCAGTAAAAGTTGCTGAGACAGATTTGATGGATTTGTTATTTGCTATAACCCGACTGATAAATCCACAAACAATTGTTGAAAAGGTAGGAATTACATATTTGAGTTTCTACGAGATGTAAAATACTCCAAACAGAATTGTTATGTATGTGAACCACTATTCATTCGACATAAGTCTTTAAACAGAGTATGTTTCTCTTAAAATATGAATATGTTTTTTGTTTAAAGAATCGCAAAATTGCAGATGAAATTATCCAGTTATGTTTAAGTTATGGTCTGATTCGACTTACAGAAGGTGTCTATGATCGTGAACGTGTCGTTGAAGAAGTCAAAGATAAGAAAGAGGCTGCTGTTTAAGTTACACAATTTCTTTTTTATTATTCATTCGTGAAATCTTCTTTCTGAATTGAAGTTCAATTTTTTTCTTTTATTAAAATATTAAAAAGCTTGAATAATCAACTGTTTTTATTTGCTGTGTTTTTTTTCTTATGTGCACTGTTTGATACTTTTATGAATACTTTTATGAATACTTTTACCTTGTTTCCTTATGCTGTGGTGTTCAATAAATTCAAGCGATTACTGTATACTGTGCGCAGTTTGTTCTGAAATTAAGGTTTGTTTTCCTATTCGTATGAGTCACCATTGATCGTTTAGTATATCAAAAATGTAATTATGTAATCTGTTTGGAAGATTAACGGTAAGAAGGAAGCGTACTATTATTTTAAAACGTTGTTGCACTATTGTGAAACTTCGCGCAGGTGAATGTAAATGTCTGTTGTTTATGCGTTTTGAAGTAAAAGTGTTATGTTTATGGTAATTTTTTTCAGAAGTTATTGGCATAAATATTGTTTGACCATGACGAATCGAAAAGCTAAATCCGAACCTACAGATGTTGCATCGCTGCCCTCATCATTAACAACAGACGGTGCATCGTCATCAAATAGCACATTTGATCCTGTTGATTTAGAATCAGCAATCATTCAGTTATGTTTACAATCTCCGAATGGCGTGAGTGATAGAATTTTAGAACTTTCTTTTCCAACTATCGCACCACAACAACGTGTGAGTGCATTAAATCGCTTATTATCATTAAATAAAATTGATTTATTAAAATCAACAACACCCGAAGGTACATCGACGTTTCTCTGTCGTATCAAAGACACCACATCATCATCATCATCAATATTAAGTGGTGGTGATCAAATGGAAAAGGCTGTGTATCAATTAGTGAAAGAATCCGGTCAAATGGGTATTTGGATGAGAGATATTCGAATAAAAACACAATTATCTCAAACATTTTTAAATAAAACATTGAAAAGTTTAGAAAGCAAAAAACTTATTAAAGCTGTTAAATCTGTTCATGCATCAAAGAAAAAAATTTACATGTTATTTGATTTAACCCCGGATCCTTCAATAACCGGTGGTAACTGGTATTTTGGTCATGAATTTGAAAGTGAATTTGTTCAAGTTTTAAATGAACATTGTTATCGATTATTACTAGATAAATTTGAAACAACAGAACATGTTAATGATCCATTGATTAGAAAAAATAGTTCATATTTGTCATCGAATGAATTAGTGCAGCTTATTAATGAATCGGGTAAAATTGACATACAATTGTAATTTGATTTTTATACTTGTTGTTATTTTTCTTTTAGGAATCTCAACAGTACTTTTGACTGTTCAAGATATTGAATCTATATTATACACCTTGATATGTGACGGAAAAGTTGAAAAGACAACAATTTATAGTTCGAATATCGACGCAAACAAACAAACACAAAATATTTATCGTGCTGTAAAGCCGATGATTGAATCAGCTGCAATTGTACGAGTTCCATGTGGTATTTGTCCGGTATTTCGTGACTGTCATGACGATGGACTTATAACGCCTAAGACATGTATTTATCTAAATACTTGGCTGGACTTTTGACTGTAAATTTAAAGTTTTGTGAACATTTTTTATTTATGTTTTATAATAAACCTTCAACACAAATATTAAAAGAAATTTTATACGATGAATTATTTATCTATTGACAAAGATGAAACAAAAAAGATGCTTTTTCTATCCACATTATCTTTCGTCATGAATCGTATGTGAATTGATCCTCATCATTTCCTTCAAGATGGGAGTCAAGAGAGATCTTGATTTTCAGCGATTTGGGTGTTTGTTGAAGAATTTTCTTGGAGTATCAGGACTGGTATCCAGTAGCTTGGGGGAACGCTTTTTCAAAAACAAAGCTTACTATCAGCTTCAGTGTGCTCGATTACATATATTTCATGCATTTGCGAGGTTACCACAAGTCACCGGACATTAAACCTATAAAGTCTGATACCACACACAAACCGCTGAAAATCAAGGTCTCGCTTGACTTCCATTCTGAAGAATGGACCATCTATTCATTGAAAAAAATTACAAAATTGAATTAAAGTGCTGTTCGTTTTTTTTCTGCTTTAAGTTTAGTTTAGATAACCAGATTGATTTTCTAGAAGTTTTCTAAAAACTCTCCTTTTAAAAATGATTCTGAAATTTGTTCTGCTTAGGGAAAGGTGTCCGTTGATCTTTTCTGTCGAACAACGGAAATCGCACGTATCCATCTGTTTCAAAAAGTATCCGAGTACATTCGGTTTTGAACGCGATAGAAATACATATATTGTAATACAACTTACAAGCATAAACTTCCAGATTTAAGTTAAATCGTAATAATAACTAGGGATGATTGGCACAAATTGACTATGAGGAGATAATTGATAATGAAGGATGATTTCACCAAAAATCTACACACTTTCTATGTCGTCAAAGACTTGAAAGACAAGATCTTCTGTTAGCTAATACCATGCAGAAAGTTTTTTAAAAGTTTATGTAGAGGAGATCCCGAACACTATGGAGTATCAGTAGAAGTATTTGTACTTTTTTGCATCATAGTATCGATTGAAACTATAATTCTGAAGGATCACTTTTTCGCTATATAGTAGATAACAATCGTTGTTTGAAAACTTGAGGGTGAAAAAGTTCGAAAGTGTCACAAGAGGTACTGGGAATGTTAAAAAAAGGATTTAAGAATCCTTATTTCAACATATTGTGCCTCTATTTCATATGACTGTGTTTGAAGATCATTGCGATCATCTTTTCCCGATTTATAAGGGAAATAAGATGCGATAGATGGTCAATGTTACATTCTAGATGATAAGATTTCACGCTGAACAAAAATATATTTGAACAATTTCTCAATAATATCTAATTTTTAAGTTTCTCTAGACCGAAAGATCATCGAATACTATTCTGACATTAGTTTATCAACGGCTTAGCCAGCTAACTGTCACCTCTAATGTAAGGAGCTAAAGTAAAAAACTAAAGAAAACCAATTACTTCATTCAAAAGAGTGGATCAGATAGTATATATAACAGGTGTTACGTTGACCCGAATAGTCGGTTGAAGCGCAGTTTGATCAGTCAAAGATGTTTCTCTAATATAAGCGCTGTTAACGTTATTTAGTCTGTTCTATTGTTTTGTGCATTTCACTTTCAAAGTAAAAGTTAACAAGGTTAAGTTTGATAGTTTTCCACAGAAAAAGGCTTGCTCTTCCAGATAATCGCTCCCCGAAATTCTAGAAGTGTACACGGTATCGAAACTTTTACGTACGATACGCCTACTTTCTACGTGAAATTCCGTCACGAAATTCGTAAACTTTCTTTCCTATACTCAAACTACGCAATAGAATAATAATAAACAAATTAGACAGGTGGGTAGATCTCGGTGAGCCCTATCAAATGAGCTCAATGTTTTTTACTTTTGATCAATTTTTAACGGAATAATAGAGCGTGACGGAACTTCACTATCCTGCATTTTAAGAGGGGATGTCCTCCCCCTCAACATACCCTCAAACTTGGCTAGTTTGTAGTGGACACCTTCAATCGTATGCATATAGAATAAAACCAAATTTGGTCAAGTATTGACAGTGTTATTAATTAATTAAGTTTAAATTCTAATTAAAATTTGCATTACTACTTCCCCTTTTTCAAAGGGGAACCAATATTTGATAAAGTTAGATCTGTTCCTCGTATACAAAGTATTCATTCAATGGCAGTATTAGATATTGATAAAATAGAATATAAAACTTATTCAAATTGTGACAAAACAAGTACTTTTTCTTTTTTATAAAAGGATGTTTTTCTTTAGAGTAGTTCAGTTTAGCTGTAGTTTAACTGTACTTCATTCATGTTTTTACTATCAGATATTGTGATTCTTTTTTGCATATGACACATAGAAATACCATTAGGATGAAACAAAATAGTTGTTTGTGCAGGTGAAAATAAGAAAAAGTTGAGTGGATTTGTTCAAAAGTCAAAATTTTGGCGATAAAAAACACCTACATTAGAAGCATGAAATTTCGCCACGTTTGACCAAGCCGTCAAAGTGTTTTGACTTCTTGAGCCATCGAATTTAATCCATTTCATTTATCCATACTCTGTAGATTGTAGGGCACTCATAGTATAAGCAATTACACTTCTGAACCAATTTGTCAATTTATCATCGATCACTAACCACAATTTAGCCCTTTGGTTGCAAGCAACAGCAGTTTATTTTTTCAATAGCACTACAAAGATCATGACTCCTGCCTGATATTAATAATATATCGACGGTTATTCGAATGTATGACCGTTCTCTTTTCAGTCTTTTGAACTCAGAATTCTGAACCATTCTCTTTTTGGTTTTTTTCGTTTCATAATTCTGACCGTTCTCTAATCAGTCCAAATTTGACCATAAATAGGCAAACGTTCTCTTGTTAGCCCTAATTCCATTCTCTAAAATATCCTTGTTTTTTAAATATTTATTTAAACCAAAACGAAGTATCAAAATTTCGCACGGAAAATGTCAAAACTGATACGAAAATTACATATCACTGTTCGGTAGGAATACCAAAGAAGAAACATCTCTTAGTTTCCATTTGCTTATTTTAGATAAATGCATATTAGTAATTCAAAACAGGTATATAATTAAATAACGAAATTGTTCATTAATTATAAAAACCGTATGCATTTCTGTCTTTTTTTCTTCGCACTTTTCTGTAATCGTGCACAAAACATTAAAAAGATTTTTTTTTAGTGCATAGAAAACGGTAAACCATGCAGAAAACTCATTTTTCCCTTCTTCTGTAATTAACAATCGAGATTAAACGCTTTATTAAACGTCTCGATAATATGCCCGTATACGAATCTATCGTGTATACATCTGGAAATGTAAAACTTAATGAGAATGTATAAAGTATACATTTCTTTTTGTTTTTTGTCCTGGATAATACTATTCAATTAAAGTGACGGTAACAATGTCCTATCATGCAAAAATATATTTCCGGCGGCATAAAAATTTGAGAATAATTTTTTTTGTTTTTTTTTAATTTCCATTTGTTTTTTTAGAGCAAATCAGTAGAGTGACAATGCCTACAATTTCATTTATTTTAAAAGACAAGAAAAACATTTGTAGAAATAGAGAGGAACTAAATTATAACACCTTGATGAGATATGAAAAAATCTAAAATTTTTAATATGTAAATTTTAATATTTCTTTCTCTCACACAATACGAATTAGTATACGGTCAATAGCAGAATGATAAAATCGAAGTTGCTCAAAATATGGGTAGCAATTTTTTTATTACCAGAAAAGGATACTTTTGATTATCAAATCTTTTAGAGAATTATTACATTTCATCCTCTTTTTTCTGCTTCTTCTTATATATACCCCCCTTCCCCCCTTAAAGTTTATTCATTTGTAAAAATGTCGACACCAAACTGTATCAATTTAGCGATAAAACATGTATTCAACCATTAGGCAAACGAAAAGCAAAAGAGCTTCCCAAGAAAGTTAGCACAACTTTAAATTTATACATAGGCATAAATAAAACTGTAAGAATATTGTTCATTTGATTAATATTTCAACGGATACGTTTGTGTTGTACATTATACTTTGTTGAGAAATAAAAATGTGTGATGGAAGCATGCTGAAAATCAAAAGTACATTTACTTCAAATTATTAAGAACTAAAGAAAATGACGTTAGATCTTTTAAACATTCTGGAGTTAACTCTAGTTGAAATGACGTAGTTTTAACCAGATCGTTTTAACTAGATTGCTTGAATTGACGATTAATATATTTATTACTAATAAAATGTGTACCTATCGAAAAATTCCCTATAACTTGAATCCAATTGTAAATACCGCTATTTTTGTATAAGGATCTGATTTAAGTTGTTTCGGTATAGAACAAAGGAAAAACTTTTTCTTGACTCGTCCAATGTTCAATACGACAAAAAAAGGACGGGATGTAAAATCCTATAGAAATTGGGCCCTCGATGTATTTTTTAATTTCGATGTAGATCGATAGAGAATTTAATGTTATGTAGTTTTCCGTATTCTTCGGAGCTTCGAAATGTATTTTGTTACAAAAATAAATTATAATAAATTATCAACCTTGACGTTAGTCTTTGACTGGTTTTGACGCTGGTTTCCTTCCCATTAATAATTTATTTTCGATAAGAAACAGGAATGGAATTTTTTTTCAAATATATTAATCGACAGAGCTTGACGAGCTGATCAAGAATGTGTGCGAAGCAATGCTTGAAAATAAAAATAACCGTTATGTTTTGTCAAAAAAACACTTTGGATCTAACTTTCTAGCGTTATTTGTCACGGATTTCACTTTTTTCTCTATCAGTTAAGCTTTAATCCCAAACTATTTCTAGTGTAATGATGATATTCATAATTAGAGTTAAAAACTGAGTTGAATGATGTGTGCTATTCGTGATTTTAGCAAAAATTTTGTTTCTGCAAAAATTCACATTGGATTCCCCTCGTGAAAAAAAAATCGCTTAACCTTTTACCATCATCACCTTTATTTTGCTTCGAAAACGATTCTTGCTGGTAAAAATTTGAATTT